TTTCGACGCACCGCCTGTCTGACAGGAGGCTGCTTCGCAGGTCTACACCATACTGATCCGGCTGCCGCCGGAAACCTGCGAGGATTCGGCGCCATCCATCAAGCTCATCAACGACGACGTGTCCATGTCGGAGATCATGGAGGCACTGCCTTCGGACGGCGTGGGGCTGCCGGGACTGCCCGCGCTGCCGCCCATACCCGCGGGCCGGCCGGTGCCCGACCGCGCCCTGGACCGCGTCTCCCTCTCGGAGAGAAACTCGGACCGCGAGTCGTACTACTCGGCGGTTCGTAGGCCGTCGCACATCCAGGACGTGCGCATGCCGCTCAACGCCAAGAGCGTGCCAAGGCAGCTCGGTTCTACCGCCACATCAGGGTGAGTGCGACGTTATTCTGTAAAATTTGGAACTTTTAAATGGTACAGGGCAGGGTGTCGAGATGCGATTTCCGTGCCGCTACCAACCATTTTTTCCGTGTTGTCTAGCTTAGGATAAGTTTGGTGTATTTGCATTAAAATAACCAATTCCGTGCGCTGCAGGTCGCGGGCGATCCTTTCCAATCTCGGTGGCGGCAAGAACAAGGAGGCCAAGAAGAAGAAGAAGACACAAGAAAAGAAGGCTGAAAAGAAGGCTGCTAAAACATTGTGTGCTATTCTGCTCACCTTTATTCTTACTTGGACGCCGTACAACATCCTGGTGCTGCTCAAGCCGCTCACGGCGTGTACGGACTGCATCCCCCCTGGCCTGTGGGACTTCTTCTACTACCTGTGCTACATCAACAGCACCATCAACCCTATGTGCTACGCGCTCTGCAACGCGTCCTTCCGCCGCACCTATGTGCGCATCCTCAAGTGCAAGTGGCACACGCGCACCAGGACAGCTATGAACCGGGGCTTCTACAACTGAGGGCCCGCTCTCGCCCGCAGCAACGGCACTTCCTCCACCCAGCGCGCCAACGGTGACCTAAACCTCAACGACTTTTAGACGTTACTGACGAACACTTCTAGACTTCCGACGACATCCTTCAAGACGCTACATTGGTCTTAGCGAAAGTGATGGACAAACGACTCTCGTGGTTAATATATCGTACTTTACGTTGTAGCCACAAAGCTGACCTAGAAACACTGACGAGACAAGGTGAAACGGCCGCTGGAGTGAAGAGATGAAGTGGTGATCACGTGGTGCGACACGTGTCCCCCGATTGTTGCGTGGCGAGAGCTAACGTACTGTGGAGTTCCACAACAGAGAGACACTGCCTCGACAGTGAAAAATGAATCAACGTGTGCTATTCATATATGTACGTATACATATATGTAAACCGTAGGCTAAATCCACTATCAATAACTTGTAAGTATCGTATGGTTTGGTTTTATGGAGGTGAAATCCATGAGCTCAAGACGGGAAATTTTGCCGGGTACCATGTATTAGTTAACTATATTTGACATGGCATTTGTGCTGATGACATGTGTCTGGTTTGGGTCGTTCCTCGGGGTCGGGTGGAAGGACAAGGTTTCTGGACAAAGTAGGGATATGTACGGTTGACTTTGCAGCATTTTAATTTTTTGTCTCCTTTAAATGCTTGCACTGGACTTACAAAAACCAGCCTCTGGCGATCAAGAGGTTGTTTTCCTTAAAATTAAAAAATAATCAGTACCAACATTACCGAACATTACTATCTAAATAGATCATGGAATGATACTGCTAAAAATCTAACACCTAACAGAAGTTAACCAATTTAGTTTATTTTGTATTTTATTTCCATCGCACCCAATTGATCCTGCGTACTTTTTTCTGTTGAACTGTCTCTTGCTCATAAAAATAGTTACCGAAGTTAGTGCGTGTAACTCGAGATTGAACTCTTTGCATTAAGCTCGAATGTTGCACATCAAGCTCACGGCGCTTCACACTTGTGTACCACAGATGTTAAGCCGAGAGCATATGTTGATGATATTTATTTTGTCACTGTTCTCTGTTCCTTCCCCTTCCATGGTGCGCGTCAGTCCGCAGCCCGACCCACGCGACGCACCAGCACACGAACCACTCTTTAAGTCTGTTCAGCAATACAGCGGTTGTGAAGCGTTTTCCTGACTGGCACAATAAAGAAAACATTTGACCAATGCCAATCGTCATTTACTGTTTGTATTATAATTTCAAGATGACTATTAACTTAACTGATTAAAGATATAGCTATTTTTACCTGGGGATTTGAGGAGCCACGATGAAATAGGCAAACTTCGCGTGCGAATGAACCTTATAAAAATGTATGTACAAAATAATAAGTGTATGTTTTGTAATTGTTTTTATTGGGATCCTACCCTTCTTGTAGGTGAATGGGTAGATTGTAAATGTTTCAGGAGGCATACAAGTGAAACAAAGATAACGTGCGATATTGTGCAGCTCGAACATTGACCTTGCTGTTGACATTCTCGTTTTCAGTATTCGCAGTAAAACAATGTTGCCCCGATGTAGCTCTTCTGAGCTCTTCAAACTATACGTTATCCTACAAATCGATTTAAATCCATTATGCATTCCGCTGTTCAGCGTTTCGCTGCACGTCTGTGTTTTATCGCTCAAAAGTAATTCCTGTGCAAGCATTTTGAATGAGATAGTATAGTGACACAAATGCTTTCTTAGTTAGATTTGATACAAATAGCTGTTGTAAAAAATGTTTCCGACTCAACCTTCCAAAACACGTTTCCCGTTTCAATTTTTGCTGAACTAAAGATGAATTCTCATGCGTGCTCTCTTTACAAAATTATAGGTAAATATTGCCTTGAAATTCTGACGGCAAACAATAATGCGACGAGGACTCTTTTTACGATTTCTTTCTCTTTCTTTACGAATATGTTCGTTATTGGTGTAGTAGCATTTTTAATATTACCGTAGTGTCCGTTAATTTCATGGCAGCGTTGGATTTTTAGGCTGCATGCTACCGGCACCTTTAATCGACCGCTAAGCTAAGATGCCTTTACGCTGCCCAGTATACTCACCCCCGTCAACTGAGCCGCAATAGCTGTATGATATCTTGATGTTTACCCCCTCTGTTTTTAACGGTCAATGTCGGTGTATATCCTACTTTGTATTGACCTAGAGAGATAAACAGTGATTGCGCGGCAGTAGTTTTTGTCGGCTTGGCTGTGCGGCTCGGTGCGAGAGTTGCGTGCGACTTGAGAATGCTTCGGGCCCCTCGTCGAGCGCTATCGCTGGCTCGGTAGCCTCGTCCGGCTTGGTTCACTCTCCGCTGGCGGTGCAGTGTTCCTTGGTGTG